GTTTAGGCAGGGGAGGGGCGGCTTTAGGCAGGGGCGGTATCCAAACGCTACGGAAACGTGCACACGCCGCCAAACGCTGCAAGAATATGTTTGCGGGGCTTAGCTGGTTTGGGTTGGGTTTAGGGCCGGGTTCAAGGCTAGTTTGGGGTGGGCTTGGGGTTTGGGTAGGAAGGGTTTAGGGGAGGGTTGGGTTGGGATGGGCGGGTAAGTTTGTCGTCGGTGGTGTTTAAAGTTGGATGAGGGTTAGGTAGGTTAGGTATGTTTTTGGTGGGGTTGGTTTTGGCTGGATTTCGGGTTGACCAAGGGTGGGAAGTGTGTTTAGGGGTTGGGTTCGGGTTCATTTCGGGTAGATTTGGGGGTGATCTAGGGGTGGCTTGGGGTCTCCGAAGGGCGGCTTAGGTTTGGTATGTTGTTCGTTTGTTTTGGGTTGGATTCTGGTTGGTCTAGTTTGGCCTGGGATGGGTTAGGTGGGGTTTGGGGTTGGTTTCGGCTTGGATTTGGATGGGTTTTGCGGTTGGCTAAGGGTTGGCTTTGTGTCAGAGTGGGTTCGGGGTTGGCTCAGGGTGGGTTAGAGTTAGGGTTGTGTTTGGTTGGGTTCAGGGTGGCGGCAAGGTTGGTTTAGGGGGTGGTTCGGAACTGGCTAATGCTGGGTTGGGAATGGGTCTACGGAGGGTGGGCCTGGTCAATGTTAATGTTGTGTTGGTTTAGGTTGGGCTTAGCGTTGGGTTAAGACTTATGGGGGCGGGTTTAGGGTGGGTTTATTGTGAGCTTAGGGTCGGGCAAGGCGGATTATGGACAAAGGTTAGGGTGGGTTGAGAGTTAGTGGTTAGTGTAGGGTGGGTTTGGGGCGGGTTTAGGATTGGCTTTGTGTTGGTTAGGGTTGGTGAAAAATTGGTTCCAGGCGGGCGATGTGTGGTTTAGGGTGGTTGCGGGTAGGTGTGTAGTGAGTGCAGGGTGGGTGTAGGGTTGGTAAAGGGTGGCTTGGCTTGGGGTGCGTTTAGGGTTGGACAAGAGATGTTTATGGTTTGCTTAGGGCTCGTTTAGTTTGTGGTTGGCTTAGGACGCAGGCATGTGTGCAGTGCTGGGCGGGTACCATGGAGCGGGTGCGCTTCCCATTTGGCAGGCGTGTGTGCAGTGCTGAGCAGGTGCTCTTGCGCGGGTGTGCTTACCATTTGGCATGCATGCGCAGTGTTGAGCGGGTGCCCTTGAGCGGGTGTGCTTACCATTTGGCTGGCATGTTTGCAGTGCTGAGCGGGTGCTCTTGAGCGGGTGCGCTGACCATTTGGCAGCTTGCGCGGGTGTGCTTACCATTTGGCAGGCATGTGCGCAGTGCTGAGCGGGTGCTCTTGAGCGGGTGTGCTTACCATTCGGGAGTGCAGTGCTGAGCGGGTGCCCTTGAGCGGGTGCGCTTACCATTTGCCAGGAATGTGTTCAGTGCTGCAAGTGTTCTGCTTCAGCGGGCGTGCGTATCATGTGCTAGCATGTGTGCAGTGCAGCGAGTGATGTGCGTGTGCTTTCCATGAGCCAGCATGTGTACAGTGCTGCGGCTTAGGATTGCAAACAACGAGCACAATATATGTTTTGTTTTTTTTCTCCGGATGTCGGGCCTGAGGGGCCGTTCAAAGAGTCTGCAGTAAGCCCCTTTTGGCCGCGTGTGTGTCTACCATGGAGCGCAATGCCACACATAGGATATATAGGACCCGAGCTGGCAAAGGGATATGGGGACAACTTTTGGCTGGTTAAAGGGAAACCACAAGGCAAACCGAAATCCATGTTGGGGGGTATGTCAGGTTTTTTTTATTATTAAGAAATGATTTTGTAGAAAGGACAAGAAGATAGAAAGTGAAATCATATTCATTCTAAACCTGTCCAATTCTCAGGATGATTAGAGGGAAAGGTGGGAGAAGGAAGATATGACTCTATGCTCCTTTCATATTGACTCTTATTACAACCATGTTACGATCCAATATGTTTAATCTGGTTCCATTACTTCCTTCTCTCCTCGTCACCTCGCATCTTGGAAGCTATTGAAGATAGAACGTAAGAATGATATATTGTTGTTACATGTTCTTATGGTTGTATTTGTAATGTAGCTATATTGTAGAAGCATAGTTTATGATCATATGTTTCATTTTTTATTATCCCTGTTGTATTCTGTATTGCTTGCTTCTACATCAGTTGTTTTCATTGGTTGCAAGATTGCGTGTCCTATATTTTCTATTGCAAACTTTAGAATCCTGGAAACTCAAATATCATATAATGTACAACTTTGTGATTGGCATTTTATAGAACTTTTATGGTTATTCAGATTTCTAGTCTTTTATTATGTACTCATTGCTTCTCTTTATCAGTGTAATCTATTTTATCTTCCTTAGGATTTCATCCGCTGGGAAATCCTAAAGGCAGCACATAATTAAGAAATAATGAAAACACATAATTCCAGGGCGTTCTTTCCTTGCCTATCTCTTGGTTATCTCGTTCTGTATCTCTTCATCTCTATCTCACTTCTCCCTTTCTTTCATCTCCTAATCTCATATCCATTCAAAATGAACCAGCATGAATGAAGTAATGAATCATGGAGAAACAAGAATGCGGATATGAGAGATACAGAGATAACCTTCCCCTGCCACATATACGCATAGCCGTTTGAAACCTTGACAAACTAAAACAAAGCCGGACAGTGCTAGAACAGTTGGTGGATTTCGACCACGAGCCAAGCTCCCGACAGCAATTGGCCTAGACGATTGGGCTTGCTTGCAAGCCATCGCTGTTGTGAGCTTCCTAATTGAAAAGCGATCTGTTGCTGGTCGGAACAACCCCAACATATTGAAGGGCAGATCCATTGCCATTTGGGGAGCTCCAGTTTAAGGACAAGCGAGCACACACACACACACAGGACGTCACAGAACTGATATTGCCGGATTACGAGGCAGTCACCTTGTTCATTCCAATCTGACACATGTCCATGCTTCTTTGGTGTCAAATGCCCGCCGACCACACAAGTTGAAAAAAGTGCACGTTTTCCTCTGTGTCGTGAACGCTGGCGAAACTGGCATAAAGAACATCAGGACAGATCCTTTTTGCCGGTCCTTGGAGCAACATCAGGGGACCTGGGCGCCGGCGAACAAGACTTCGGACGGCCTTGATCGTCTCCGCTTCTTTTTCTTCCGCCTTGCTGACCTGCCCCAACCAGAAGAGGTGGTACGGAAATTTGAGTGGGTGTAGTGGCGCAGGAATGGCAAACACGGGGTCTGTATTCTATCCCCGCTCCCAAAGGATCCACAGTAGTGTAAAAGTTGCTGGCAAAAAGCAGGGCATCCCGCAAAATTGCTTTGAGAAATGCAGTGGTGGAAACAACATGGGTGTTTGGAGACATAGCAAGAACAATCTTGATCAAAGCCCAGGTCCTACATCCAGAATGATCTCAATCCAGATGGTGGGATCTGAACCTGTTGAGTTCAAACAGTTTGAACAGTTCAAAACCCCTGGCAGAAAATGGAGGGGCCTCGACATCTTCAGGCGCTAAAACTGCGACTCCAAAACAGTAGCAAAAGTAGCGGGTGATTGCTGATGATGAGACACCGTCTCGCATCTGGCATCTCGAGAGGAAAAGTACCTTTTTGGGTGCGGACCAGCATTTTTTGCAGCGCAACCTACATGATTTCGACTGAGGGATGGGGATGGGGCACCGTTGGTGCTTGTATGAAATTTATCAGGTTGACGAAATTGGAAAAAGACGCCAGATGCGTACAAAGGTGTGTTTCTGCATAAACCCTATACGCGTACAACATAAAGTGAGATATGCATGAAAACATATATATATATATATACATACATGTGTATACACTATAGAATCAACGCGGTTCCACCATCCTGTTGAAACAAGGAATATGAACTCGCCAGGCCTCCTGACAACAAGGGAACACTATGCACATTGCTAATCTTGGTGTCAAATGTCCAACTGCCTCTCGCACATCCTGGAACAAATTGACAATGTCGACGCAGTCATTTCCACTGTCCAGTCAAAAGCTGTTGTGCCAACGCCATGGTGACAGCTTTTCCAGCGCGACAAGTAGTGTAAGTAGTGCGACTCTGGACAAATGTTCTGGGTGAATTGCAACAAATTTACACACACCTAAAACAAAGGAATACTCAAGCAAGGTGTGCAAACGTCTCACGACGCTGCAGGCTCAAGCAGTCGTGCCTCGGAGTGACAGAGTCACGGAGGGGCACTAATGCATCACCCCCCCTACTCCCCCCGCCCAAGGCATATTGCCCTGGCCTTCTTCTTGCCGCCTTTTCCCATCGCGCACACAGGCAAGAGCAATGCTTGCAGTCTGACAGTCGGATGCTACCTGCCACACGTGATTACAACCTGCGGATTGCTGCGCTGAAAAAGCAGCTCATTGCGCTTGTGATGACTGAAAGTGAGTACTGATTGGGTCAAAAGGATGCTTCACATTCACTCAAGTCCTGTTCACATGTTCATACAATCGTTCCGAGGCAAAGCAAACTCAAAGCGCTTCGTTCAGCTTGCTGAGCACTAGCGGCCGCATGCCATGCACAAGAGAAAGAGACGTCATGGCTGCATGCGAGTAGAACTCTCCGAACAGCTTTGTTTGCGTACCCGTTTTAATGGCTGTTGGAGACTACCCAAAAAAAGAAGGGTCATGGAGACTGCAGGTACCCCTTTCTTCCCGGAACCTTCGGATGCATCCAGCCTAAATGAGGAATGGGCTGCCAGCTTGGCCCTTGGCCTTTATTTTTTTGACGAGACGTGAAACTCGCCCAGAAGAAAGCCAAGCGGTTGATACCCTGTGGCTGGAGGTTCTGTCAAGTGGGATGAGGCCCCCAAATCGGCTCAAGGACCACGATATCATGGGAATCTCTGCAGCTGGATGCTTCATTCCCGATACATCGATCCGAGAATAGAGAAAGGGAGGGAGCCTTGTAGCTGATTTAACAAGTCAGCCTCAGGTATTGCCGGCTCTCACCCTGGCTTCGGTGATGTAGAGGTTCGTGAGCACAGAGGAGACACCGATGGACATGCCGGACAAGGTCCTGGCGCACAGGGATCAAAGTCGCACTTTGCGGGCTCGTTTCCAGGCGATCCGTCTCACTTGGGGTTCTACCATGCTTAAGGCGTGATACAAGCCTTACCCAAATTCCAATCAAACCAGGTACACCTTTGGGTGGCCAATGCCGGTTGTTTCGCAAGCCCATGTTTTGGTCCACAAATCCCCCCCAAAAAACCGGCAAAATCCACACCCCTCAGCCACCCCGGGGCGCCGAAGTCTTGTGTCGGGTCTGTCGGGTCCTGGCCGCCAACAGGAGCTTAAACCCCGGCGCCAGGGCCATGAGCACCGGCGCGCAGAGGAACACCAGGGCCGCCCCCAGCAGCGCCCTTCTGCGGCCCACCACGTTGGCCACCTCGCGCGGTTACCGCGCGGTTACCGCATGGGCGCCTCGTCATCGTTCATTTTTGGGCTGACATCGAAGTTTGGAGGGTTAAAGGCAAAACAAGAAGAAACGGAGGCCATTCAAGGGGGGTTCCAATTCTGGTGGTTTTCCGCCTGGTCTCCCTTCAAGACAACAACAAGGACACACTCAAAAAATCCAGCTGCGCTGTGTGTCTTCGAGCTCGAAGAGCGAGGGCAGCAACCCTACCCGTAGGGTATACCTCAGCATTGCCTGCATCACCTGCACGCAGGCCGGCCCAAACACTTGCACCCGCAAACATCCCCTCCCCGGCCTTGCGATCAGCTTCTGATGCCACGTTGCCCGGCCGTCAAACAACACTGTAAATACCGTGCAAATCGCCCCGGACAGTCGCTAGCATCCCCGCCACCATCCTTTGCATCCTCGCAAACTTCGCCAGCATCCCCAGCATTCCTGCATCACCAGCATCTGGGCGTTCCAGCATCCCTTACATCCCCTGCATTGCTCAAACCCTTCAAAAATGGGCCCCTGAGATAGGAGGCGGACATGGCGGGCAAGTCTGCGATCCCTCAATTAAGGTGGTCTTTTTTTAAAGGTTGGTTTTCCTTAATTAAGGTCTGTTTTTTGATGCTTTTTTGGCAGGAGGCAGCCGCCTCCTTTTTACATGAGTTGGCAGATCTTTGAAGCATTCTTTTTCGGGCTGTGGCTTCATTGCATGTCTTGGCGCTTGGGTGACCGTTTGACATCCTGGCAGCTGTTTTTGGAGCTCAAGCTTTTATGCAATGGCTCGAGCTAAAAACACTGCCGACGTGAAGGCCGTGGGCAAGGTGCTACGGGCCAATTTGACCTGCCTCGACCCAAAGCTTTTCCAGCAAGTGGAGATGGATTTGGTAGTGGCCAGCTACCATGAATTTTTGATTGACTTGCTTAAGGTGACCGGAAGGCCCACCCAAAGCATGTTGAAAGCTGCTGCCTCCAGTGTGTTTGCAGCTTCTCCTGAGACTGCGGATGCCTTTGCTGGCAGGATGTGCAAAAGCATTTCTTACTGCAGGCAAAAAGAAAAAAGCGCTAAGAGTGGGAAGAAGCTGCACCCAGCAGTTAGGCAGGTCATCCTTGCCCTTAGGGGCAAGGCAGGTGCCAATGAAGAGTCCCCTGCCAGCGCAAGAGCTAGCAGCCCAGTAGAAGTGCCTGCCACCAGCAGCCCGCAGGAAGCTTCTGCTTCTAGCAAGGAGAAGAGCCGATCTCCTCCCCGGACTAGGGGGTCAATTTTTTTGGAGCTTGGCTTGACTCCTCCCAAGGGCTCAAGCAAGCCTTTGCCGGTTTTTTCTCCTGCAGTGTCTATAGATTCTTCAGTGCAGGTGGCAAGTAGTCAAGAAGGCCCCTTGCCAGGCTCTGAGGCTGCTAGCAGCTCCAGGCAGTCCAACGACAAGGTTGCTGTGTACGTTGACAACTCCACCTTGGAGCTGGTCAGAGCGCATGCTGGCAAAGACGCCCAGCGCTATCCCTTAGAAGTTGGCCCTGAAGGCTTTGCAGTGGCAAAAGTGGATGGGGCCACAGTGTCGACTGAGGTTCCCAATTTGCTACTGAAGAAGGGGCCACTTCCTCCCACCACTGGTGTTTTTAAAAAGCCGGCGGCTGCCCTGAAAAGGCCAGCTGCAGCACCGTCTATGACTGAAGCTGAGGAGAGGGCAGCTGAGCACTCGAACCCTGAAGGCTCAGAGCCGCATCGCAAGAACGAATACAGCAAAATGTTTTACAAGGCATGAGGCGCTTTTGCCATAAAGCAAAGTTTTTTGCGAAGTCACAAATTTTCCAACTGAAGAGCCACACGCTTTCAAAAGACCAAGTTTCAGACATTGCTGACATGCCGGGCAAAGTGAAGACCAGGTCAAGCAGTGGGCCAGATCGCAGATGTAAAACAACGCTCTTTGTGAGTCGCGTGCTTCTGTTTGCTTGGGGCTTGGCGCGGTTCCTTGGCTTGTTTTTTTTGAGGGGGGAGGGAAACAGTAGGCGCCACCTTGCTTGCAGTAGTGGCCTGTGAACATTTAACGGTGCACGTTTTTTGCTTTTTCTCGGCCACAGACTTTCACAGATGTGGGTAGAGCATGCGCTGGACCCGTCAGTCTGCATCCTTGCTGTGTGTTTCCAGCTTGGTTAAAAAAAACGCTTTTTTGACCGCTGTTTTCTACGCTGCTTTGTCAGCCATGGCGGATTGCCCCAGCGCTCCCCCGAAGATGCCGCCACCTTCGCCTCCTCCAATCAATGCCCCAAGTGTTGTTAACCTGCTTGAGGAGGGCGAGGAGGAGGGGCAGTCCTTTGTTGAGGACCAGGTGGTGGAGCCCTGGGAGAACCCTGAGTTCTTGCGGGAGTGCCTCAAGTGCCATTGCCGGTCGTATTTGAGGAAAGGTGGATGCGTTAATCCAGCCTGCGCCCCTTGTTTCACGTTCATAAACATCTTGTTGGTGATGTGCTTATAGCGCTCTGCGGATGTCACCAAATAGTCTGCGATGGGAGTTGAGGTCGCCTTGCATGTCTTCCAGTCTGATTCATCGAGCAATGCAAGTTCGTTCTCTCGACATGCTCTCTGGATGTTCGTCTTGCCCCATCCATATACGAATGTCATCATACAATCTGGAAATGTGTTGTCAGGTGAGGATCCTCTCTTCATGAAAAGGTGATGACGAACGATATCCTTGATTGCGCATGATGACTCCATTGCAAAACATAGTCTTTCTTCGTCGGCGTTTGTTCTGCTTCATTCCAGCATCTCTGGTAGTTCTGCATGATGTAGTTGAGAAGTCCATAGTCAGGTCGGAACACATGCTGAAGCTTGCTGAATGTGTTCGCGGATTTCTTGCTGTTGCGATTTCAGTCCAATTGGGTGTGGAAGTAATAGAACTCTTCTTCATTTAAACTCATGCTTGGATAGACATGTGTCAATGAATCGGTCACGCAATCATCAAAGTCCTGGTACAGAGAATCTGGATCTTCTCTGTATCGTTCCATGAACATATCAACATATGTACACAAAAATCATTTAACAGGAGACAGAATTTGGTCTTTTTGTGTGCCGTGTTTTCATTTGTTGTGTTTGCCTGTCACACGCCCAGGTCCTCTACTACGTCCACCGCAAGGACTGGGCCTATTGGCAGAAGGGCAAGTCCGCCAAGAAATCTTGGACTGGCGACAAGCAGGGCATGGTCAAGTGCATCGTGGCCTCACGGAAGAAAAGGTCTAAGGCCATGAAAGAGGCCAAAAAGGTTTGGCTGCAGTGCACAAGACCCACGGCAAGCGCGTCCGGAAGTCCAAGAACAAGGGCTTGAAGAGGAAGGTGTTCTGGGCTCGGAGGGCGACACGCGGAGATGCAACTTCAGCTGGGCCACCCTCCTCGCCCAAGCCCCCCACTTCTACAAGCTAATCTGGGACCCAGTACGCTGTGGCTTTGAGGGCAGCGTGCCAAAATTAGTTGCTCTGTGTTGCATTTTTTCCTACGCTGGATTTCCATTCTTATTTTAACTTGCGGTTCAGTCGAGGCTTTTGTTTGGGCCTTTTACCAGGCTCGCGCCCGTGTGCATTCTGGAGGACGCGCTGGAGGAGGCCAGCCGCAGGGTGATGCAAGCATGCCTGCTGCCTTTAGGGGCCCAGAAATATCAGGGCTGCCGTCGGGGCCAATGTATCCTCCCGGTTTCTGGCCTATGGCCAAAGCTGGTGGGACTGTGCCAAAGGCTAGTCCCATCATCAATGTGAATGTCACCAATATCAATATTGGCCCTCTTGGGCCAGAGCAGCTGGCACAGCAGATTGCTGCCATGATCTCAGGCATCGTGCCGCACATGGGGCTTCCAGGCCCACCTGCCCAGCCTGCTTAGCCGATCCAGGCTGCTCAGCCTATCCAGCCTAAGCCAGCGTTCCCTCCAGTGCCCCCTTTCTTCCAGCCATGCCGCCTGATGGGGTGGACATGCAGGAGGATGGAAAGGATAACCAGTAAGGTTCAGATGTAGTTGCTTGTGTTTTTGGGTATGTTGCACTTAGAATGTGTTGGATATCATTTTTGCACGTAAGTGTTCAGGGATCTGTCTGGTTATACCTTGCTGGTGTCAGGCTGGAGCCAGGGCAGTACAGTATGACAAGGTGGGGAAAATGTCAGCTTGGTCGTTCTTGAGGGTTTTGCAGTTGAAGGCTCTTGGGCCCTGGTCTCCTTGAGGTTCCAATTGGTTGCACTTTGTGAAGAGAGTTTGCATTTGGAGCTGGCCTTTGCGCCCAATGATTTTCATTGCTAGGTGTGTGAGTACAGAACTTGAGAGATCAACCTCTCCTATCATGGGCTGCCCGTTTGTTGATATTTCTATTTTTCAAATCGATTGGTTGCACGCAGTGGACAAGGCAGTTGCAGCAGACTTTTGTGGGAGTTTTCTGTCTTCCTTGCTACCAAAAATGCGAGGCACCAACAAAGACGAGCAATGCAAGCAATGCAGAGATTTATTTTTGAAGCTCCAGAAATGGTACACGGACAATGGCACCAAGGACAGGCTTGCCAACCTCACCGCCGCCATGCTGCAGAAGCAGGCCAGCAAACCAAGCTCAGAGGGGGAGCGGCTCAAGTCAGGGCGACTGTGCCTTTTGTCAACTTCCTGGCCCAAGAGTACTGCAGGGATGACAATGTGTGGGAGTCAAGTTTGAAGGCGGCAGCTGGGCACCTGTCGCGATGCTATGATTGCTTGGATCATCAGAAGTTTTCCATAGCAGCACTGAGAGAACATTGTCGGAAATTTTGCACTTTGTACGCAGCTTTGGTCCATGACTCTGATCACGCACAGTGGAGGCTGAAACCCAAATTGCATTTGTTCCAAGAAATGTGCGAGATGGCTGCTTCCAATCCCAGTTTGACGTGGACCTATCGGGATGAGGATTTTGGAGGGGCTCTGGCCCTGATGGGGAGGAGGAGGGGAGGGCCAAAGTCTGTGACTTCAACATGCCAGCTGTGTGAGAAAAAAGGAGCTGTTTGGATCGAGGCGCTGCCTTGAAGGTTCGAGCGCGCATGAAGCCATGCATGAACTTGCTGCAGCAGTTTGTCCACAGGAGAAAGCGTGTTCGTTCTCCTATTTAAAAAAAATCAGGAGAAGCGCAAGCTTCTCGATCCTTTTGAAACACACATTAACTAAGAAAAACACCTTAAAATGAAAACCCTCTAATTAAGGACTAAAGTCCTTAAATGTTGGATTCAACCTTAAAAAGAGACCTTAAATAAGGACTTTTGTATGTGTTACTTTAAATAAGGACTGAAGCCTTTAATTTAATTAAGGAGTGTTTTTAAGGTTGAGAAACTTAAATAAGGTTGGAAACCTCTTTTGGGAGTTGAGGGATCAGTGAGCGGCTTTTCTTGCGCAAGTGCGGCCGCCGCTGCTGTGCGGAAAACATCGCACATACCGTGTTTCTCCATTCTTCCACGGGTTTCTGTGGGGCTGGGACTGGCTGCCGGGGATGCATTTTTTGGTCTGATTGGCTTTCGGTGCGAGGCCCGCGCGGCACGCGCGGCGCGCCGAACGCAAGCGCCGGACGCAAGCAGGCACACATGCACTCAAGCTAGGATGGGTGAGTGCATGCTCAGTGTCAGGGGGGTTGGGCTAGCAACCTTGCAGCCTCTTGCACGTGTGGGTTCGCCTAAACAGATGAACAAGGTCCCGCCTAAACAGAGTTTTTCTTAGTGCTCCCCATCTCACCTGTCCGCTCGGCCAGCGCAGCTGGTGATGGCGAAGCCCTAGGATAACACACCATCGGTCAATGGGACAACCTTGCGACTTTGTAGTTGCGGGTCATTTTCTCGTGGTTCCCTTACGCATCATGGTTCTCTAAATCCAAAAAACAAGTCCATACCCCAGAGAACAAGTGACCCGCCGCCTTCCAAAATCCGGGCCACTTTCCACTCTCCAAAACGAGGTCCCAAACCTGTAGCAACAAACCGAAACCGCTAGAAGGGCCTCCCTCTGTTGTTCCGTAGTGTGCTTCTTGGTGTTCAGAGGCTGCAGCATGTTGCCTAGGTGTTCAGTAGGATTTCAGTGTCCAGCCGAGTAGCAGCATTCGTCGCGGACATGTAGCATGTTGGGCTCGGAGCATGTTTCTTGCATCAAATGGGCCTCGTACGGAGTGGAGGCGCCACATCATTGGATTGGGTGGCCCGGGAGAACTTGCAGGCATGGTCAAACAGGGCAAAGAGTGAGATGGAGGCACGACTCTTCACGTCGGAGCTGCTCGAAGCAGGGCTGTTTTGTTTGTTAAGGGGACCCCCTAAATCAGTGTTGTCGGACTTCTTCTTCCCAAAGCATTACGAAGTGCCCTTCTTCTAATTGCGGCTGCAAATTTCACCTGCAACTTCACCTGCCAACTTTTCGAGAGCTACTTCACCGGCCAACTTCACCTGCCAACTTCTCATGTACCCAGCGAACAGGTGTTTGACCGCGGCGGATTGGTTAGGACAAACGCTACTCGCCTTTCCTTGCAACCGTAAAGAAAAGATTTCCTCAAACCTCTCCAGGGTTTTGCCAAAACCCATTGAAAAGCATGTTGACATATGATTTCCACACCACGGAAACCACCGGTGTGTCTCGATGGCCGTTTTTGTCTTTTTTCGTCTGCCTCGTATTGGTGCCAAGTGCAAATCCATTTCTGGCCCCCCCTTCTGCGTGGACTCCAAAGGTCGGAGAAGCCCGGTCGACTCAACCCCCATTTTTTGCATTTTTATACATTTTTGGACATTTTTTGTAACATATCGACAATATCTAACGGTATGACATTTTTGGATACTACCCCTTGTCACCAACTAACCTCGACCCGGCCTGGCCAGTGAAGGCGCCGAAGGCTGCCGCCAGCAGCGCGCAACTGACCAACTCACCGGACTCCAGGCCCCCCAAACCAAAGGCGGCGTCCTGGGTTGTGTGGTGAGAGAGGGATTGTTGGTTTGGGGTGAGGAAAGGAAGGTAAAATGCTGAGACAAGAGGCTGTTTTCAATGATCCCTTTGGTGGACCTCAAAATCGAAGCGAATCCACAAGAATATAGAAGCATCAGCATCACAACCCCACCTAGGGCCTGTTAGACCCCTCCCCCTGGCACGTCGCCGCCCCAAAAACCTCATGCATGTTTCAAGGACTTTGCCATCGCTTGACCTTGGAGAGTATCTTTGACAGTAAGGCTTCTGTTTACAGACCTGACCTGGAGCGCAGAAATAGACTTCTCGAACATCAGACCTGCACCCATCCGGCAAATGCAGCAGCTATATATATGGGGTATAGGCCCTCTTTTGGATGGGTTTTCAATTGCCCCAAATTGATTGACCATCTGCCGTGTTTGAGGGGTGCAAGGCGCAAACTGCTCACATGCTGAGAATACGATCTGCTGCCAATGAATCGTTCATTGACACATGCGTCATGTTTGAGCAGCGCTACCCCAACACCGCATGAGCGGACATGTCAAATCTTGGCTCTTGCCAATCATCTGGAGGTTCGAAGAACATGCAAGCTGGATTGAAACCTGTATTGTCTGAAGCTTTCGCTTTGCATTAACCGCCCATGCAACGGCGGCTTCGCAAATTTTCCCTCTCCCTTTTCCAGCTCTACTTCTTGTCTGTGAAAAACTGGCCGAAAGTCAGAGAACCGCACCACAACTTTGCTGCGACCCGCGACCTCCATTTGCTCAAGTTGTTTGGTGGCGGATTCCCTGTAAAACCAGTGGAAAACAACACCGATTATTAAGCAAATGGAAGGTGAGACTTATTGACCCATCCACACTTCATCCGCTTGGCTTCAGGATATTGGACTCAGAACGGTCCCGACCGATCGAATTCGATCCAAACGCGATCCTCGGAGATGCCTTTCTGCGCCCCTGCCACGATGCCGGTGTTGTAGCCCAGGCAAAACGTACTCAAGCTGGCCACTGCCACCGTCCTGAGCGACGGACAGTCACGAGCACAAGGCTCCGCAACTGCGTCATTTCCGAATCGCCTGATACTCCGGGAACTATCAATCATACACAAATGAATTCTGTAACCAGGTAACTGAAGGACCAAATGTAACCCAAGCATTCTGCATCTGACAACAGGAACATGTATGAGTCATCACTTTCCACTTAGTCGCCACAATATTTCCAACAAAAGCTTGCCTCTGAACTGTCAAGACCATTCAGCGAATATACTCATGTAGGGGCATCGCGAGAGTGGCTGGGACCCTCTCTGCACGATTCTGAGAACAAAAGCACCAGGAAACCTCTGCCATGCCTAGTGTCACTGTGCAACAAGCCTTCCTTGAGCTGAGTGGACAGGGGGGTACAAAGCCGGAATCTAGAGACATACGTATGCACACACACACAACCATGTGTGTTAGACATACACAATACATTATATATGTATATATAGGCAGACCATATACACACATATGGGGGCTGCCCTATGTTCCTTTGCCCGGGATTGGGCCCTTGGGCGGCACTGGCGCGGACTTGCGCGCGCACAGTGGCGCAGAAACTCGTTTTCGTTGACCTCGGTTTGCGAAGTTTTCGTGTGGATTGCGCGAAAGCTTTCTGAGCAGTGTGTTTGTCGTTCACACAGCAACCCACAAAGATTCTTCCCGCTGAGGTCGCTCCCGGCAATTTTAGGCCAGCAACATACTCTTGATCCAACAGAAAGGACAGCCGGCTCTGCCACACAGCTTGGACACAGCCTGAAAGAAGGAAAGTGCATGTCGCGGCTGCCTATCCATTACCTGAAACCCGCCGCTAAGGACATCCGAGACAGCATGGCTAGATGTCTTGCTGGGGCTTCTCGTGCTTGCGCGCAACTTGCGCGCGGCTTGCGCGCGGCTTGCGCGGATTTTGCCGTGTCAGTTGCTGATTGTTGAAGTCATGACCGCAGAAGCTTTGGCTGCGTTTGGCGTCTGACTGAAAAAAATACCGCACCTTTGCAAACAAGCTTGTGACCTACACATGACCCAAGCAACATTCGGAAAACACAAGTACAGCAAGAAGATATCACCTCCTTTCATGAAGCTAGGCAACATCGGTACATGAAACCCTTTAAAACTGTAACCTTGCGCGTCCCTTGGGCCGCACTTGCGCGCTCCTTGCGCGCGCACATCTTTTGACAATTTTTACTTCTCCCCGTTCAGCGGTAATTAAAACCGAAGACTGGGGTTTTAGGACGGCCCTCATATGCACACATAGGTTCGGGTCGATTTGGGAACCCTTGGAATTGATTGTTCTCCTTGTCCTTTGGGGCACCACAAACCAGATGGGGTCTGTCTTTTTTTAGGTGTCCTTTTCGGGTGCAAACACTGAAAACCTATGCCAAATGAATTGCTTTGTGTCGCCGGGTACTTACCCCTAACATGTACCGCTTGTGTATCACAATTATAGGCCGCTACCTCCGGTTTCAAGCGAACAAATGGCTGGTGCACGTGATGCGGGGAAGCTATTGTTGCGCTGTCCGCAAATCAAACATACTTATCTGAGGCTGGATTGAGATATATGTCCCGCCTTGTCCAACCATCATAACCGTGCTCATCAACGAGTTCAGAGGACCAGAGAAAGACTGGCAAACGGTACTTCATGGGAGTTGAGCATTGAACATGCATCGTACTTCAGAACATTGTCTGAGAGCATTGATTTGTCGATTGCCAAACGGCTAGCTAGCAAGCGAGCAGGCGCAAGTGGAGCCATCACATGCATATACATAGCACCGTGGCATTCTGGGAACGCGAATCACCACCAACCCCACACACTCCATGTTGGTCATATTTATTTGCCAACGCAAAAATGTAGGGGCATATTTTGGCAACATTGGGCTTATCGGAACCTATCACTGTAACGGATGCCGTGATTGGGCGTGATGGGGCGTGATTTGGCGTGATTATCGGATTGAATGTATGCTATTTGTGGCATACCTTTGGGCCAATGTATGCCAGACTTGGGGTACATTCGTGCATTACCGTGATTTGGCGTGAGTTCCTCGCAGGAGAGTTGTGCATTTGTCGAACCAGCATTTTGGATGTATGCGACTCAGAGCAATATTGGCATTATAAATCCCAATGTTCCTTCTTAGGTCAATGTCGGCAAATAGCACCAACATTGGACTGTTTGGGAACGCAAAACGTAATCAGCGGCACGTGGAAATGCCGAGCTGGGCTTGACGCACCAAAATAAAAATGCATGCATGTCAATTCTCCAACACCCAAAGCGATACAAGTAATGCGCGGTGGGCATGCCAAGAAGTTGGTTGAAGCATATGAATGTGCTGAAGATATTCTGGCTCAGGCTGGTTTGCAGAAAGAATCAGCAAGCCTTGAAAAGTTGACTGCGGCGTGCGCCCACTACGTTTGCATGCGCAACGGACTCGGGTGGTGTCAATGAAGCCAGTCGTGCGACAGATTTCTCCGGTCCTCTTGAGCTGAGAGAGGTCGGCATCAAGCGGGAGCCTCAGTCGCTCAAAGTAGGCCGGTCGCTGTGGATTGCAGTCACGACCGTGGGTTCCCTACTTGAGGATATACCAATCATATACTGGTTGCGCGAACGGAACAAGTTGGCCGGTACCAGCTTTGGTGAACCGGTTCAGGTTGCCATCGGTGGGGGGGACAGCGTTTTTTTGGGGTATTCTCGGTTACTCGTTAGGTTTGGACCCCGCAGGGATACATATCCACGTGATACTCTCGGGCACATGACATGTTCTCTAGAGGCATGGTGGAATCTGCCGTTCGAGTTGGGCAATATATTTGAATAGCTGAGGGCAAGGACAAGTCACCAAACATATGATAAGAACCCTCAGAAGATACATGGGGACCCAATCCCTCAATCTCTACCACCAAAGCCTCCAACAATGGCATGATTTTGCTTTCTCCAAGGCTTTCTCCTGGCAACTGACTCTAGAACGCTTAGGCGGCCAATGGGTCTATTTCACTCTCACTTGTTCCAAATGGCTTGGATGATAAGAAGGTGAAAGCACCGCTCAAAGCCAATTGAGGTTTGGTTCTACCAAGACGAGCCGGCTGCTTTATAGTTGTAATGGCATACAATAACACTTTGGACATCAAGGAAGAAGCCTTACTTAAAACGGTGAACAGGGGTTTTGGACAATGCTCCATTAAGCAGTAGCTTGCACGCCAAACTGGCAACCATAGGCTAGGAAGCTCCATTACACGAATTGATTTGAATGTGATGTTGCTTCCGTGATCAGCAATCTCTGATCGGGATCGCAGGAAACACACAGAGTATGACTTGACAACTTACATGACACTGTAAATTGGGTCCTCTGTCCAAGGTAAAGAATTTCTGAGACACGTGCTAGCACATATCCCACTGACGACTCACGACACGTGTTGTGTGGTGACAGTTCTGTTGTCCACCGGGAACAAATGGAGAAACGATTCGCCCTCCCCCCCGGAGCAGGCTGCAACGTTATCCAAGGGAGCCACCGGCAATGCTGTACATCTGGAATATGCTTTCCGGAAGAAAGTTATCGTTCGGGTTTCGCTTTGTCGGCTTAGATGTTTCCAAGCAGCTAGCTGGTTACGCGTTCAAGATGTTGTTGTGAACTTGGAAGCACTTTCCCTGCCCAGAGCTTCGCTGGAAGAGAATTCCGGGGTTTGGGGTCGTTTTTGGGTGTTACTACGGATTGGAACAAACATCAAACCAAAACGCATGTACTTTTCATCACCGGGGGAGGGGTGTCCAAGCGATACTTGGCATGGGTTTCCACCGAAAAACCTGGCATGAACAGCTGAACGGTGACAAGAGAGTTCGAAGAGATGTTCATTTTGGGTAAGGCCAACTGGCCTATGATGTGCGCAAACATTGGCCAGATTAATCAAACTTGGTAACCCCAAGATTCAACATGCTTGTTGTTGACAAGACTATCATGGGCACAATGACGTTCCCAGCCACTTTCTAAACCCTGTTTGTGGTTTGCTCATTCTCATTTGCCTGCATTCCCGGGCGTCGTTCACATGCCACAATATAGGCTGGAAAAGCAAGATAAGGGTAGCTAATATCTGGCAACTAAACATGAATTGCATCACTCGGTTCGCTAGTGGCACGGCGGGGGAAGTGGGTAAAGGATACTCTCTTCCATGGGGCTCCGTGCTGAGCATTCGTCAGCCGCACTTCGCTGCTTGAAAGCATCCTGGCATTTTGCTTGGGAACTTGAGGTTGCATGTGGGCGCACAACAAACCCCTTGAGCCTGAACCTTTTCCAACACTCCCGGAGCTTCAGCAACTACATCAAGATGGCCGACTCATCTTCCGGATCTGGCCAAAAATGCAGACTTAGCAGGGGATCTTCCCGGATCCGGCCACACATTCGATGAGGATCTTCTGAGTTGGTGTTGTTTTCTACGTCCGGCTGCTGGAAGGGCGCGCTGGGGCGGGTTCACAAGAATTTATACACATATATGCACGTTAGCCTGTGCAGCTTGTTTGTTTTTTTTTTTTTTTCTGGGGAGAATTGCAACTTCGCAATTCACCCTGTAATGGATTTTGCTTACTTAAGCTTTGGTGATGCTGAGGATGGTGCGCAGATTGCGGAAGAGCCTGCGTTCCAGCGCTCCAGGTGCTGAGCAGGTTTCGGAAGAGCCTTTCTGCCGAGGCGCTGGTGATGCTGGAAGCGCCTATTCTAGTTTGATTTCTTTTTGTTGCTCGTGCTGGTGGTGATGAACTTGCTGAGCACTCTGTAATAAAGCCCGCCTTGCTCGAACACTGGTGATGGTGGAGTGCGTTGGCTCTCGCACAGCACACCTGAAACACGCAGATGATCCGCCATCCAATCGCGGAGGCGCGCCAGCTCCTCCGACAGACTTTTCGGGAGGCTGCAGGCTGGCAGTTCTTCCTGTGCGAATGGCACAAAGCCTGGCCGCACATTCTCAGCCGCAATCCGCGGTACCTTCGATAGGTGTCCCGCTGCAGAAAAGGCCTTTGCTGCCATCGCAGGCAGGCGGGCAGGGACTACATATATATATATATACACTGTATATGTGTATTCGCTCTGATTGTGATGCTACACATTGTTGTCCACGATGGGTCTACTGTGAGTTCTGGGCCTAGATTGAACCCTGGAACAGGCTCAAATGGTCGACACCTTCAGCAGCACCATGGTTCTAGCTAAGAAATATGCTTGCTGCTCAGTAGGCTAATCTGCTTGACACCTCTTTCAAAACGGCCCTCCACTTTTGCAATTCCCACAATAAAAGGCTGGGCAGCACTCGGCGGCTGCTTTTTCAATGGGGGGTTGATTTTGGGCTGGAACTTGGAGCCACCTGGAGCATTCCCTGTGGATTTGTAGCCTTCAGGAATTCAAATGCGTCGAGGGATTCCTTGAGCTTGAGATTCCCACAATGTCCATGGGGGCCTTGGCCATGGGCCAAAATGCCAAAATCACTAGTGAACATCCGATTCAACCCCCCACTAAAATAGGTTCTGAAATGGGTGGTGAATTCACCTACCAACCAAAATGGGATCCGTTGGGATCCCGTTGGCTTTGACAACCACAGCCACTTCTCTCAAAGCGATGGCCATTGCACAGAAACTTCAACAGCTCGTCCAGTGATTGAAGCAGTGATCCAGTTGATATTGACTTTTTCCGACCAAAAACTGCCTCGAATTCTTGGGGTGGGTGTGCAGTGTCAATGGATGGTTGCTTTTCCTGGGGGTGCCACAAGTAGCGGCACATTCAATCACCATGATATCCTGTCCTCCATTTGATTAGATATCCTGCACCACCAGACAATGCTCGAACCTCATCAAGACTCTCATTCGGCAATCTCAACATCCCTCCCACCCCAAGGTTCAACACAATCCAACACTTGCGCAGGGCATGCCTGATGATACCGTCCCTCAAGCATGGGCTGTTGGCCGCCCCAAACAACTGACTACCCAAATTCTCCTTGCAGCTTCCGCGATCCTTTGGACAAGAAAGTAGGCACTCTTCACGCAACCTTGACCACTTGTGCACCCACGCGCAAAACAAACAATGGCGAATCACATTGATAAAAAAAAGAAAAGAAAACAAGAGCTGCCGACAACAAAGCCAAGCTCCTCAGCTGATGCCGATCTCATCAGCTACCCTCCCACCTAATTACTAACATCGAACCTTCAAAGATGACAAGGGTCTTCCAGGGGTCTTCAGTCAGGTTCCATATGCTTGAACGCAAACAAGCTATGATCGAATTTACCGGTTCTTGGGCGTCCCAGGCACGAACTGCTCCCCTTCAAGCATCCGCTTCAGAAAATGATATGTGATATGAGTGTGTCTTGATGGTAAGGCTGGTCCAAAGGAGCATCTTAATTAATAATACCCATTTTCGGGTTGCCCTAGTTTAAGACAAGCCGGTACAACCGGCAATGTTGCAGCTTCTCGGAATAAAATATATCCACAAAAAGGAAGCAACGAGATATGTGGGTCTATCACTTTTTGAGGGTACCCGTTTTTGCAGGTATACAGGAAAAGGGAAACCACCATTTTGCGAGGATCCCCCCAAAAACACACATGGCAGCATCAGCCAAAACAAGCTCCCGTTCCTGGGCAACGCAGCTCCGCGAATGGCCCGGGAGATCAAGCCTTTTGCTTCCGTCTCTGATTTTAAAAAAGGAGCTGCCCAACCCTTGGTATGGTGGCTAGCAACGCTTTCTGTTGCAGCCCCCTACCCAAAAAAGGAGCAGAACCAAAATCCGGAGGAAAAAAACAAAAATGCCAACAACTGCGGAGGGAAGCCACTACTATTGTGGGCCAAAGCACTACCCGATTGCAAATGTGGCTGTATGTGAGCGAAACAAGTCGCTGGCCACGAGTGTCAGCAAGTCAGGCCATGAACGCTGGGTTCCTGTATGCCCGTTGTTGCGCTCCAAGCTTCTTAGCCTTTTCCCAAAGATTGAACAGGCAGTGCAATTGACCATCCTACCAACCGTCGTTAGACTTCTGGCAGCCAAGCATGAACCTGAGGCGCTGATTCACCGAATCCTTCTGCTTCTGGCATGCCGCTTGAGACTTCTGGAAAGGCGCGCAGAGTGAGAATCAGCCAAACTCAGACAGGGGTTCATACCATTCCCCGCAATGTCCAAAATATTATCCCCCAAACTGGTAACAGAACCTGTCCAAGCATCACTTTCACAAGGGTTAGCAGGAGCCTTTTCCTCCAATTTTAGCGGTTTCCCGCTGTTCTCCCCAGTTTGCATCCCGGACATTAGAAAGATCACTTTCGTTCCACGACGATATGCGCGGCCGGGATGTTCGTTTTCAACCAAACTGAGCTAATGCCGTCTATTGTCCACCAGTGCGACCTGAAAAGGGCGCCTATGATACGCAGCCTCTCTTACTCAAGGTCAGCAAGTAGAACTCATCAGTAAGGCAGTCTAGACCAACGCAACGGAACTTGCACAGCTTTCAGACTCAGGAACTTGCGCATCTAGCAAAGAGGATGCGACATGAATTGCCTGCATCATGGCCAACAACACAACTTAGCCTTGCCAACTTGCTTCATGCTCGCTGGTGGTTCAAAGAGCGCGTAATCAAGGCCTCTGTTGCTGAGGTGGTGCAGTTAGCGGCAGACACTTTGCGCTTAGGTCCTATCAGGCATCCGCCAGGCACGCATCGGCTAGCCTGACAAATACAGAAAAGCAGTCTAAGCCAAATGCCCCCACTCCAAAAAACGGTGCCTTCTTTTATCCTCGCTGGGTCTCTTTGCAGGCGCCAGGATCCGGCACTGGGGAACATATACGTATCTATATATATATGCATACATATGCACACATATTTACGTAGCTATATATATATATGTACTTGTCAATAACATATTGCCCGGAAATCATGTGAACCAAAGGATCTGTGAAAAAATGTGCAGTGCAAGCACGCACACCCTCAGCGCTTCCGTGGGCTAGACCGACCGATCCTGTGACGCTGTGACTGGAATTCGCTGCCCCTTAGGCATGGCGCATCTTGCGCCGCCGGGGATGCAAAAAACAATCTACGTTGCCGCTGCCGTGCAGCAAGACAGAGTCTCAGGTCTTTTAGAGAAACGTAACCGGGACCGAAGCTGCAGAAAATAAACCAGCAAGCCCTGTGATTCCATTTCCCAGTATAGTAGGTAAACAGGGGAAAAACCCTTTAAAACCAAAAGGAACATGGCTGGTTGACTACCAGTAGTTTTAGTGGTAACTGGTATCCACTGGGAAGTGCAGAAGAACTGTTGCTCACATGCCCAACCTGTTGCCCCTTGCCGCTTTCTGGGCGAAACCAAGGCTGGCACTTGTGATCTTACCCTGAGTTCTGGGACAGTCGGTTGAACGAAACCGATGGATGCCGCAGGTACAACGGTCCAATGTAATTTCTTCTTGATGAGCTTGCATGTCCAAACGGCTAAGAAAAGCAACATCGGAAAGCATGGCACACACACACAATCAAGACAGCTTGGAAGCGGCAGCTCTAAGCTGGCCCAAGGCAACTGCTCAGAGTGGATATCCATCCTGAGCCACCGAGGAAGCACGACCTGCCCTGATGACACAAAACAAAATGAAACTTGGGCTACGGGCCCTGCAAACGCATTGACCACTTCAGCGGCGTGTCTCAACAAAAGGGTTGTTGGATTCCTGTTAGTTACAGCTTCCCTGTCAAGCCATGCAACAGGGAGTGGCCCATGTCGAGAGAGCAGCATGTAAACTTGCAGGTGACTTGGTCAAAGGAAAGGTTAGAGCACAGATCGATGCTTGCTCAAGACAGGCCTATGGCTGTGGCATTTCATGCTTTACATTCCTACTGTGCGGTGAGATGTTGGTTCATGTGTCTGACGCAAACGCCGGCGGCGTTGACACAAATCAATTGGCAAATTAGACCAAATTAGACTGTGCACCCATAGACATCAGTGGGCTCCATGACCCGCAATCGGAATCTGAATTACAGTACAGCTGCTTCGTTGCTCTCCGCAAGGCTGCAGTGAGACGTTCCTCGACATTGGCACCCACGTATACTCACAAGCACACACACACAGAGCACAAAGAAACAAACCCACACACACACACACACCACAACACAAACACTCTCGCGTGCATGGCCAGTGTCCCCATAAACTCCTCTCATGGCCCTATTGGCCAGGCCCAAGTACCGAGCCAGAAGCAAAATGGAACTTGGAACAAAATCCAAGTCCCCAAGAGCCCCCAAGATACAGCATGTATTATCCGGACATGAAACCATGAGACTTCCAACTGCTACAGCCGCATGACAAACAAAACCCTGCGGGTGTGCACTGAGCGCACAGCATCTCTCAAGACCTCGTCAATCTCCTGCGCACGAGGCTTGTCTGGGTGGGACCATCGGCTGACAAAAATAGAATGCCGCCACTTGCTACAAAGGCTTTAGCCAACAATCCACGCTCAATGACAGAGTAGAGTCGAGGCTCTTGAAAACTACATTAAAGGCAAACAGGGATGATATGAGACTGGGCATGGTTTGGCATACTGTAGCTACCTGTTGTTGAGGCTATGTATGTTCCACCCACTGACACGTGCTATGCTGACAAAGAGGATGCAACCCAACTTGCACCATAATATGCGTCTTTGCAACAATACTTGCATCTCCAAGGGTGGTACGCATATTCTGCTTTTTCTCCCATGCCGAGTGGTAAAAGGCTTGACAATGCGGATAAAACATTAGTTCCACACATCTGACACATTCGGACACCATGGCTTGCCATGCGTCAGGGGCGGGAAACCTTAGGCTCAAGCATTCAAGTCCAAGCATCTCAACCAGCCACGTAGGTTTCCGGAGCAGGGCTGTGTTGAACGATCGTCGTTCAAGCGCCATTTGGAGACCTCAGAGCTTTAAACAGCACTTGCCCCGAGCGTTGCTGAAGCTGCACCCACGAACGCATCAAACGAGAAACCTCAGGCGCGGTGCCAGAGCTCTACATGCTGCAGTACCGCAAAAAACAAGGTCTA